TAGTAACTCATGCCTACACGACTCCCAGGCTCTAAGTGATCTCTTCTGATTAGGACTCTTTCACCCAATCTCTCCCCTTTTCATCCAGCCCCAACAGTATTAGCAGATTACTTTCCATTAATCATTATTTTGATCTCACGTCTCTGTTAGTCTCTTCTAAAGAGCCTTAAGTGCCTCAATATTCCCTGCAGGACAAAATCTAAATTACTTCATCTGACTTGGTAGGATCTAATGAAATCTATTACCAGCTCCTCTCCTATTTCTCCTGAGTATTAACACTACATTATCACTAAGAAAACATAAAAGTGATAGAAGAATCACTAGAACAGAATATGCTACTGTTAAATAATGAAAACATACAATTATTGTTACAAAGCTAGAGTAAATGTTTTTGCTTTTCATCTATTAGACAAAGGTAAATGTATGATAATTTTTACTAGAACAAATTTTGGGGCTGAAGCACAATTGAGTTTTTGCTAGCCAGAATTTCTCTCTCTAAGGAGGAAAAATAAGAAACACATGAAAATTACAAGCAAGATTGTAAATAAAGAAGCAAATCACAAGAAAGGTTGTAAGTAAACAAATTTCTCTATAGGAATATCCCCACAATCAAATACTGAAGAAATGGTCCCATTGTCATTATACTTGACTGCTCTTATTTAAAAGAAAAACAAAGAACCTATGTGAAGAAAATAACAATTTAACAGAGAAATGTAGAATAATCCTGAATAACTGGAGGAAAATAATACGTTCCCAGTTTGGAGGGTAACATTATAAAGATATAGATCTATTTTTGTAAATAATTCATATTTCTATTTTCATGATCTCCTCTCTACCCGCTTTCAACAATATATTTTAAAAAACAAGGGAAGAAAATTCACTTTAGTTTTCTTGATTTTATTTATTTATTTACTTATTTATTTGGAAGTACAGATCTAGGTTTTTATTGTTCTGATTAGAATGTAGAGAATACTTACTGTGTCTATAGAGATCAGCTGGTTTTTTTCACTTTCTTTTGCATTTTCATCTCAGCCAAGAAGACAGCAAAATAGTGTCTTCCAAACAGTCATCATTTACTTACCTGAGGAGAAAGAAAAAGAAAGTAAATGTTCTGCAATGTTTTTCAACATGAATGCAGTTTAATATTACCTCCTAACTGATTACTAAAACTAGGCTCTTCAATTGTTAGATTATCTGATTTAGAATGTTTACAATGATGTATCACTGAAAGAGAAGCATTTAATAATCATAAAGGCTCCATTTCTGATAAAAGTTCACACACATATATTACTTCCACAGACAGTAAGACTCCTATACCAAGAGAATATAATAAAAAAAATGTGTTCTTGACATTTTTTTCCCTCCCACTTCAACAAAAACAAAACATCAACCAAAAGACACCTCTCTTGATTCCACTTCCTCTTTGGCTATTGCCTCATTCCCATATTCTCCTTTAGAGTAAGACTGCTTGAAATAGCTATCTATACATGTAGTCTCTGATTCCTGTTGTCTCTTTCTCTTTTTTATTTTTTTATTGAAGTACAGTTGATTTACAATGTTGTGTTAATTACTGCTGTACAGCAAAGTGACTCAGTTATATATATACACATTCTTTTTCATATTATTTTCCTTTATGGTTTATAAGATATTGAATATAGTTCCCTGTGCTATACAGTAGAACTTTGTTTATCCATTCTATATATGCCAGTTTGTATCTGCTAATCCCAAATTCCCAATCCATCCCTCTCCCATTCCCTCCCCCTTGGCAACCACCAGTCTATTCTCTATGTCCCTGATTCTGTTTCTGTTTCATAGATAGGCTCATTTGTGTCATACTTTAGATTCCACATATAAGTGATATCATATGGCATTTGTCTTTCTCTTTCTGACTTACTTCACTTAGTAAGATAATGTCTAGGTCCCTCCATGTTGCTATAAATGGCATTATTTCGTTCTTTTTATGGCTAATATTCCATTGTATATATGTACCACATCTTCCTTATCCATTCATCTGTCAATGGACATTTAGGTTTTTTTCATGTCTTGGCTATTGTGAATAATGCTATAAACATAGGGGTGCATATATATTTTTGAATTATAGTTTTGTCTGGATATATGCCCAGGAGTGGGATTGCTGAATCAAATGGTAATTCTATTTTTAGTTTGCTGAGGAATCTCCATAATGTTTTGCACAGTGGCTGCACCAACTGACATTCCCACAAATAGTGTAGGAGGGTTCCCTTTTCTCCACACCTTCTCCAGCTCTTGACATCTTTTTACCAACAGCATTATTTAATCTTCAGATTTTTCAAAAGGAGTAGAAGGTTCTTCTGTATATCATATAAGAATTTTCATTGCATACAATGAACTGTTGGTTAACAAATGGAGGTATTGAGGAAGAGAGAAACACCCTACAGTGGAAATCAACTCTGTATATCCAAAGGAAGAAAAAAACACAGAATTGTCAAGATAATTCAAACTATAATTCTGTTTTATTTTGAGTTATTTTAATTTTTTTATTGAAGTATAGTTGATTTACAATGTTGTGTTAGTTGCTGGTATACAGAAAAGTGATACATATTTATACAAAAATACAGAATATTTCATATTCTTTTCCATTATGGTTTATCACAGGATATGGAATATAGTTCCCTGTGCTATACAGTAGGACCTTGTTATATATCAATTTTATATACAGTACTTTATATCTGCTAATCCTGAACACCTAATTTATCCCTCCCACAGCCCTTTACCCCTTTGGTAACCATAAGTTTGTTCTCTACGTCTGTAAGTCTGTTTCTGTTTTGTAAGTAAGTTTATTTATGTCATATTTTAGATTCCACATATAAGTGATACCATACGGTATTTGTCTTTCTCTTTCTGACTTACTTCACTTAGTATGGTAATCTCTAGGTCCCTCCATGTTGCTGCGAATGGCATTATTTCATTCTTTTTTATGGCTGAGCTGTATTCCATTGTGTATATATACCACATCTTCTTTATCCATTCATCTGTAGACATAGTTTGCTTCCATGTCTTGGCTACTGTTAATAGTGTTGCTGTGAACATTAGGGTGTGAATGTATCTTTTTGAATTAGTGTTTTCATTATTTCCAGAATTGCTGGATCATATGATCATACTATTTTTAGCTTTTTAAGGAACCTCCATACTGGTCTCGATAGTGGCTGCATCAATTTACATTCCCACCAACAGTGTAGGAGGGTTTTCCCTTTTCTCTACACCCTCTCCAGCATTTGTTATTTGTAGACTTTTAAATGGTGGTCATTCTAACTGGTGTGAGGTGATACCTCATTGCAGTTTTGATTTTCATTTCTCTAATAATTAACAGTGTTGAGCATCTTTCTGGGTGCCTATTGGCTATCTGTATGCCTTCTTTGGTGAAATGTCTATTTAGGACTTCTGCCCATTTTGTGATTGGGTTGTTTGTTTTTTCATTATTGAGTTGTATGAGCTGTTTGTATATTTTTGAAAATAAGCCCTTGTCAGTCACATTGTTTACAAATATTTTCTCCCAGTCTTGTAGGTTGTCTTTTTGTTTTGTTTATGGTTTCCTTTGCTGTATAAAAGTTTGATTTGGTCCCATTTGTTTATTTTTGTTATTCCTATTGCCTTGGGAGCCTGACCTAAGAAAACATTGGTATGATTTTTGTCAGAGAATGTTTTTCCTATGTTCTATTCTAGGAGTTTTATGGTGTTGTGTCTATATTTAACTCTTTAAGCCATTTTGAGTTTATTTTTGTGCATGGTGTGATGGTATGTTCTAACTTCACTGATTTACATGCAGCTGTCCAAATTTCCCAATATTACTTGCTGAAGAGACTGTCTTTTCTCCAGTGTATACTCTTGTCTCCTTTGTGGAAGATTAATTGATTGTAGGTGTGTGGGTTTATTTCTGGGCTCTCTTCTGTTCCATTGATTCATATGTCTGTTTTTGTACCAATACCACACTGTTTTGATTACTGTAGCTTTGTAGTATTGTCTAAAGTCTGGGAGGGTTATGTCTCCTGCTTTGTTCTTTTTCCTCAAGATTGCTTTGGCAATTCTGGGTCTTTTATGGTTTCATATAAATTTTAGGATTATTTGTTCTAGTTCTGTGAAAAATGTCATGGGTAATTTTATAGGGATCACACTAAATCTGTAGGTTGCTTTGGGTAATATGGCCATTCTAACAGTGTTAATTCT